CCCTCCCGCAGCCTGGTCGCTGACCCTAACCTGGCGGCGCGCAGTGCCTGGGGAGGGGGCCAGCCAGGCACTGCCTGCAAGCTGTCCTGCACTTCCAGCTACCGCAGAGCACGTTGCCGCTCCCTTTCTCCTCCAGGACGCAGACTAGTCATAAACATGCAGTTTTGCTTGTCAGGCTGTCTCCACAAAGTACAAGGTGCAGCAGGACTGGTTTGCCCTGAGCTCGTCTGACTAAGGGTTTCTTCTTTCCAACAGGCAGATGAATTCATCCGAGCTAATGCCTGCAATAAACTGACCGTCATAGCGGAGCAAATCCGGTATTTGCAGGAGCAGGCGCGGAAGGTAAGGAGGAACCCGCCGTGCTCGGCACCTGGAGGCTGCCTGAACAAATAGCTACAATCTGAGGGATGAAAGAGACCTTAAGGGTCATCCTGGCCCAACCCTCTGCATGGATTCAGGCCCCCTTTCAGAGGGCAGAAAGACATGCTGCTTGTAGCTGTCCATTAACAGTGCAGAGAACAGAAAGCAAGGCCAGCAGGAGCTCCTTCCTGTCTCCAGCACAGAAGTGGTTTCTGCTTTCCGGGAATATTGTGAGTTTGGGGAGCGTGGAGGGAGAGAGCAGGCATCCTGATTCATAAAACACAGCCAGAAGCTCTCAGGATATCTTTGCTCTGGCTCCCCGGTTCTTTTTTTTCCTATGGAGATTGTGTAGGTCGCACTGAGAAGGGAGACGCCACCGCAGCAGAAGTAACAGTTTCACTAGGATGATGGAGCTTGTCCGAGATCTGTGCTCCAGAAACTATTTTGACACATCCGGGGGTTTTGAGGAGGAGAGGGAGGCCACAGCAAAACAGCAGGATTAGCTGCAACCTGGAGGTGTGGGACGGGGTGCTTGAGAACAATTCGGGTTGTGCTATCGGATGTGAAGGGTGAGGAAGTTTAGCTTGTGGCTGAGCTGGGCTTTGGTTAGACATCAGGAGGAAATGTAGACTAGACAGAGGGAAGAGAATAGGCACCAACGTAAAGATGATGCATGAAGCCATGTGAGTAGATAAGAGAAAATAACTCAAGGTGCAAGGGAAGGAGAGGCGTGAACTTCAGGAGCAGCCCTGGGGGAGTGGAAGAACAGGATCTGGCACGGGGTGGGGTGGAGGAAGGGTGAATTTCAAATGCCAGGAGAGGACAGCATATCGGAGATGGTCAGACTGACAAGCCTCACACAGTAGATGTGTCACAGAGATACGTAGTGCCATCCTAGGAGATGATGATGGCAGTGATGATTGTAGGAGGGCAGGAATTGATTCTTTGGTTAAGGGCCTGTGCCCTTACAAATGCTATAGATTGATTTGTGACCGTGATTCAAGTCTGCAACCCCGGGGCGAATGTAGTGGGTGGCCATGTCCCTTCAGTTTAGCCTGTTCTGTGTCCTTTCCCTGAATTTAACAGCCCTGAGATTTTTGATCCCTCGGTCTGGATTCTTAACCCTGATGCCGACTCCAGTTCATGGTGGGTGGTGGTTGCCAGTCTTCTTTGGCCGGTTGCCACAAGTTAAACCCTGCCCCCCCCCACCAAGGGCCCCGCTTGCCCCCAGCTCCCAGAGGTGTCCGTGACAGTCTGAGTCCTGGGGTGCTGAAATGGAGTCAAGGGGGGCCAAGCCCCTGGCTGCATGGAGCCGAGAGGAGTGGGGACAGGATGCTGCAAGAGGGGCATCCCTTCCAGGAGCCAGGTGAACTGTTCCCTGGCCCTGCAAGCCCAGCTGTTTGGTGGGTGAGGATCCAAAGCCTGAATTTTGGTGCCAGCTCCAGGGCCGGGGAAGGGTTAAGCTAGCTCTTGAGGGTGATGCTTTATACCTTCTCTCACAGCAGCTGTCCTGCTCTGCTTCATGTGACCAGAGCTTGAGCTGCCCCCAGCCCCACTCTGGCACCTCGCTTTACCAGGCGCTTGGGGCTCCCATGCTACGCACAGCAGCACCCAGTGCCACTAGGTGAGGGGGGCCACCCTGGTGTTAAGTAATGTGCAGCTGTATTTCTTCTGTCAGCGCCGAAGGAGGAAGCCCGGGAACGTGAGATCTGGAAACATAAATAGGAACAGAACCGGGATAGATCTCTTGGCTTGGTGCTGTTGCAAGCCCTTGTGTCATGTGAGCCTGGTTATAAACTGACCATGGAGCAGTCTGCTGACTCGAGCAGCAGTCTGAATTTCCCTTTTGTCTCAGGGGCTGAGATCCTGGTCTTTGGCAGTTCTCCTGAAGCCCTAGCCTAGCAGGTCAGAAATCCTAGCAGGGGGGTTGCGTGCAGTCCAGCCGCTAGAGAGATCTTTCCCACCAAACACAGAAGGCACACCTCTGAGTCAGGAGTGTCAGGTCCAGGCAGGAGCAGGAGCTGCTCCAACGGGAGGGTGGGTCCTGCTACTTCTGGCCATTTGTCTAGCCCTGCTGCCGCTGCACACAGAGGTCAGAAGCCACTAACTGGGTCACTCGCCTGCACTAAGGAAGTCCCAGGCTGAAGACAACCCTGCCCTGCCCTCAGTGTCTGCAGTGAGCCTTTGTGCTCCAGGACTTGTGCAGCTGCTACTGAAGTAGCACCTAGGGGAGCTCATTAGTCCCAGGGCTGGTTCTAGTAATCTGCGTGCTTTCTCAGGAGAAAGGTTGCTAGACGCCTTGAATATTACCATATGTTCTTGCATGCAGCACATACCTCTTTTTTTGAAACTCAGCTGATGGAAGTTGGGCTGCTGTTCATTATAAGGAAGGAAATACAGGAATAGCAGGTTCTGCCTCTGCTGGGAGCAAGTGAAAGTAATGCTGCAGGGGTCTTCCAAGCTACTGATGGTGAACACTTTTTCTTTCAATGCCCCTGCTGAAGCTCTGGCCACAGAAGCTGCTGCTCAGTTGGTACTGCTCATCAGTATTTTCAAGGAAAGGTCGTTTTTTCTTCATTCCTCTCAGAAACAAGGTGTGTGTCGTATTTGGGCGGTGTGCTATATGCAAGAGAATACAGCATAGCTAAGCAAGCCATTTACATTACATATCTAAGTCTAATAATCATTAGTTGCAGAGCAGGGGACTTGTTGGCATTTGAGCATCACCAAACTAATTAGCCCACTCTTAGTTGATCTTCCTCAAGAAAGTTCTTTCCTTTCTTTCCAGCACTTATCCAACCACCACCACCACCTCCTCGGGCTGTAGATGTGCCTTATCGTTTGAAAGGGACTTCAGGCAGAAAGGAGTTACAGTTTTGTTTTTCTTCTCACCTGTGTGGACTCACTGGGGACAGGAACCTTACAGTTCTGTCTGTCTGTGCCTTAGGTCTTGGATGAAGCTAACAGAGATGCTGATCTACACCACGTGGCCTGCAATTTCGTGAAGAAACCAGGAAGCATCTACTACTTGTACCAGCGGGAAAGTGGCCAAAGATGCTTCTCCATAATCTCTCCTAAGGTAGATGATGAATTCTCTCTCTTTTTTTTTTTTTTTTTTTTAAG